CCGAGCAAAGCTCAATACACCGGTACGGTACAAAATTTCAAACCTTGTTCAAAATAACATATATTAAATTGAAGCATGTAACAAAAAAGAAATATAGGTAGGGGAAGTAAAGAGCACAATCATATATTGTAATACACAAATAAGTTATAATAATATCATGTACCTCTTCCTTTTCACCTAAACTATCGGCATGATTCTATGGTGGGTGGGTTGGGATTATTGAGCTAAATGTGAGGTTCAGATTTCCTAATTTTGAGGAAAGATTCTATCAGAAGATTCAGAACTTCAATTCCAACGTTCTCCTTAAGATGAGTTTCTCCTTCAACTAAATCTTGAATTTGGAAGAGATTTGGGAAATTTGGAGAGAAACTAGATGAGGGAAGGGAATGAAGGAGCGAGGGAGGGAGGGAGGGAGGGGGCAGTCACAGTTGACCCCTAGTGCTGATCTATGTTTTTTCTCTTTTTTCAGAAACTATGAAGTAATGGAAGTTATTCTTTTCCTTGTGTTTGAGACCATTTCCTCGTATGGAACAATATATATGATTTGTGCTTTATACGACATGCATCAATTAAGTGCTTTTCACATTGATGTATGTCTAAACTAGCTTGGTTCCATTCTGGTAACATTGCTTGTATAAGGGAATCTATTTTAGATGAACTGCGATGGTTCTAGCATTAGGACGGCATCAACAAGTATATTGGAATATTCTAACCAATGTTTGTTTTTGTGAAATGCAAATTTTAACTATCTCCACTAATGTTTGCTACTAGGATAATGATTTTGACGCATTAACCTAAGAGATCTTAAGTACTTATTCCTTGTTTTGACCATATTTTATATTTTGTTTATGATAGACAGCTTATATTATCCACAACTAGTTTGACAATAGAAGTTTTTATCATACGTTTGTAGTTAACCAGTTCTCCCCATTCTTTTTTCTATATTTCTTGAGACAGGCAGAAAATCCTGCCAGGATTTGACCATTCTGAAATAATTTTATCCATTGTTGTTTAAAGGTGAGATACCGTTTGAGAAAAGACCATGGGATAGAGGGTGGAATACCTGTAGTATTTTCTTTGGAGAAGCCAAAAGTGAAGCTGCTTCCTTTTAAAAGTGTAAGTGGAGAAGAAGAAAACCCATCAGATTATCAGGTTAGGAAATTCATATATGTCTTTATTTCTTTTTTTGATTGTATATTTGATTCTGATAGTGCATGATACATGTTGTTATGTTTACCAAGAACTACAAAGGAAATCATTTATTTAGAACTTAGAAGTTGGAAGATGTGATAATGTATAATATCACACTATTCAGCTCATAGCCAACAATAGATGCTCACTTTTATCAGTTATAAATTATTTGAATATTTCTCCTAGGCAGTTACGGTAGCTGCAGTTTATTGTTGTAGGCAAAGTTTACACTCTTGATTCTCTAACTTCAATTGAACTTTGATGCCAGATAGTTCCAGGTTTCAGGGTCCGTATCATTCCTGTTCTGGGTACAATTCCTGCAATTTTTGGGCAAGTGATGGCGTCGTATGTTGTGACTCAGCTCTCAGGATTGTATGTTCAAACTGAACCAGTGGTTAATTTGGATATAGATCATTATCGGATTCTTCATAACCGCCTTCTTGAGCATGAGGAGATAATTTATGGCTCAGCCACTCAAGTTATGGTATGATAGCCATGAGGAAATGTTTTTATATTTTATCTGTTCTGTAGTTAGTAATCCAATTTTCATAAATGTGGTAATATATGGTAGATTATTCAAAATCTAGGATTTGGTGCAATCTCTGCTTGCTATTTGGAACAATCCAGAAACTTTTGATTCGTATCAATCAAGTATATAAAGAATTAAATATGAATATATTAGAGAGGAAAAAATGGAAGAGGGGACACAAAGAGGTGTCGATCACGTTGGAATGGTGATGAAAAAGGACACAGTGATATTCCCTTGTGTACTCGTCCCTTGTTTACAATTCATTATTCTCTGCTAAATTTAGTATGAGTGGCCATCTCTCTAGACAGTCTTTATGAACTCGTTCCTTAAATACTTGGGTTTTATGAGTAAGGCCTACAATGATCACTCGTTCCCTAAATACTTGGGTTTTCATTTGTTTAAACATGGCTGCAAACTATAGAAAGCTCCAGTCTTTCTTCTTTCTCTTAGGATGTAAGGTTTAATATCCCATCTTTTCTCTAAATAGTCTATGAATTATCCTGAGTCCTTCTAGCATACCTCAATTTTTATTAATGAAATTTAAGGTTGATGTTGAAGAAGTAATGTATGTCGTCAAAGAGTTGTGGCATGGAAGAAGTGCAAGAGATCAATCTAAAGATGTTGGTCGCAAAATGTGGCGGTCTGTTAATGAGTTAATGCTTGTAAGGTATGTATGATTGCTTGATATCTTTTTACTTGAGTTCTAAGTATTTGAGATTCTACTTGTGTTTCTTTGCTTTGTCTTTGATCTCCAAATATTTGAGTAAGCTAGAATCTGTCATATTAATTTATTTTACATGAGTTATTTTTCTTTTACCAATTGATTTTTCAATGTTATGAATAATGCTTTAATTAAGAAACTTTATGATAAATTTATCATTATTTTTGTTAAAGATCAAAAGTTGTTTCATATGTCAGTCAAAGATACTGTTTGTTGTGCTGTTGTCACCACTCATTGTAAAAAATATATGCCAACTTTGCGGAAATCAAACTTTTTAGTTATTTTGATGGATATGTTGCTGGAGTTACTCATACAATTTCTTCAATCAATTGGATCATTAAAATTATTTCAAACAAATTATAATGTGTATGATGTAGATATTAATGTCTTTTAGTTTGAAACTGATTCTTGGAGATTCTCCTAGTACAAGATCCAACCCACATAGGTAATTTTTTATTTCTGGAAATGTGGATTGTGAGCTAATCCTTCAAATATGTGTGCAACTTGCATCATCCGAACATAGTTTATCTGAAATGCATAAGTGTTGGGAGCAGTCCATATCTTTTTCTCTCAAGAGCACCAAATTGTGTGGATGGAGGCGTAATATAGTTAAGGAGCATTTATCAAGTCTTCATTATTGCTTAAGAAAGAAGTGGAAGAACTCAGTGATTTAAAAAGCG